TAACACATGTAAGCTCAAAAATTAATAACAGATTCTTGGTTTTTACCAATAATCACAATATGTATTGAGATTTTTTACATTTCATTTACTAACAATATTAATATTAATAACAAAATAAAAGATGTGATGATTTATAAAAGTTTATCCTACTAAATATCAGATAACATGTTATGCATTCATTTCCTAGCATATTAAGACAAGATCTTCAAAAAAAATAAATCAAATATTTTTGTATGTCAATAATAAACTAAAAAAAAAATCATAATTTTACTATAGATGTCAAAACTTTTTAATTCATATAATATTATGTAACACTTAAACAGTAAAAGCATAGAGGAATAAAATGCTAAGAGTTATTACTACAATTAGTTGAATATATCAACCGAGATGTTTACAAAAAGTTTAGCAAACAAGTCCAGTGGACCTAAAAACTTGAAAATCAAAGAAGAAAAATAAAAAATCACATTAAATTCAAATTATTAGGCTCAGATATGTAATTTTGGGTCTCAAGGCAAAAAAGATGGGTCTCCACCATATGGCTGCAAACACACACAGTTGCAAATTGTTTGGAAAATCAAATACCTCCAGCTCTGCCATCTGGATAATGCCATGCCAAGATAAAAACCCAATCATCCACATGCCGTTTCAATTTTACTCAAGAGGACAAATCATCACAGCCATCAACAAGTAAACAAATTTCCATTAATATACTAATGATATCAACACCACCACCATTGCTATGATTGAATAGATTTTTCTAAGTACAATGTTGTAATAAGAAGAAATGAATGTAAGATGCTATAATAAATACCAAGGCACACTTCTGTTGTAAACTAAGGAATTCATGTCAAAATCCGCCATGGCTGCAATCACAGTTGCAGCATTTGGAAAAGAAACTTCAAGAAACAAACACATGCCCTTTGGATTGCCCAGCCAAGATACGAATTTGATCAACAGATTCTGATTTTCCTCTATATCAACAAACCAAATGTTGAGATGACCAAATTGGTCAAAGGCGCCAGATTAAGGTTCTGGTCACAAAGGTCGTTGGTTCAAATCCCACGCTCAACAAATAACAGTTGCAGTTTTCTGTTATAGACTGAATAAACCATCTAAACAAGGCTAAGAGCTTGTTTAATAATGAGTCACTTTTGATAAGTTGGATATCCCTCTACTTATCAAAAACTCCATATTTCACCATTTGAAGGAATTAACTAATACCCTTAACCTAATAAACCATATACATCAACACATTTAAATAAGCTTAGCCAAACACCTCTCTAAATAATCACCAATCATGATCAGATCTTTTGTAATCTTTGGGAAACTGAAACACTTTATTAAAATCTACATAAACATGGTAGTCTGCTTCTACAGAGCAGAGTTTTTGATTGATATATAAAGTTAGTTAAAAGCGAATACTAATAGATTATCCTTTAGACCACAATTGATACCAAAATTATATGTGCTGAAAAATATATTTCCCACATATGCCCCTAAAATAAATAATAAATTAGAAAAATATAAGAGATATGTAGTTTTTTATTGTAAAAAATTGACGTGAGTATATGTCCACTTAATGAAATGTTTATATTAGTAACTGCAATATGTCCACTTAAAGTACCTTGCTTCCATTACTATAGTTTTTTTAAAGAATAGAGATACTTCGATGTAAAAATATAACTAATAGTCATAAATTTAACAAACAGTAAACCCAAGTTCAAATAAATTGACATAATCAGAAAGTGGACAAAAATGCGATCGAATAATGCTACCTAAATCGAAAGTTTCATGCGAGAGTAAAACGGAGGCTCAGATTTGTTGTGATGGAGTTTGTTTTGCCTAAATCCGTCATGGCTGCAATCACAGTTGCAATGCATGTCAATTTTGTGAGAGAAAACTCAAAACGACAAAAAATTGCCTTCCGGATTGCCCAGCCAAGATACAGATCAGGTCTCCAAACTCCGATTTTGCTCAGGCTACCTTTCATCGTCACCGCCTCGTCCATCGGAAGTACAAATCAACAGCAACAACAACATCAGTCAAAATTACATGAAGGCCCTCAGTCAGAGAGAGAGAGAGAGAGAGAGAGAGTATGTATGTTTGCGTGTATGAATGTATGGATACATGAATATATATAGAGAGAGAGAAAGAGACAGAGGTAGAGTAGTTGATGGTGAATCGGCGTCGAAATCATCGGCTAATACTTGATCGGATGATCAAATGGCAAGAGGAGTTCTCTTAGAGAACCTCATCACCCTCGCCGGAGCCTCATTCGCTTGAGCAAAAAAACAACGTTACGCCAATCTGCGAATTTCAGCTAGGTTTTCTACTTGTATACAGAGTAGCGAGGAGTAAGAGTGAAATCGCATCTTTTTTATTGGGCTTTGAACTTGGTCCAGTTCGACCAACGTTCTTTATTAAATTCTAGTATTCGAATTGGACTGATAAAGTGGTAATAGTAAAACGTTTGATTATCGAATAAAAAAATCATTAAGTTATAGAAAAATTAAAACTCATACTGCATATATATTATAATTAAATATATTTAGTAAAACCACATATACATGGCTGTTTGTTTAAAGTAGAAATATTTGTTTGTTTGAAAATATGTACATCGTTTATTGTATTGTTTAAAAAAGTCAAATCCGCAATGTTTTAAAAACTTGTAATTGGTTTCCGATTCAACCGGTTCGACCGTCGGTTAAACCGGTTTCTATAATTTTCATATTGTTTCTATTTTACTATACACTAATACACATAGACATCTATAAATTTAAACATTAAAAAAATATATAAATACAAGTTGAAGATCAATTCAAATACATTAAAAACATATAACCGTATGTTTTACATCAATACAAATACATTAAAAATAAAATAAATAAAATATGAAAGCAAAATATACTTTTAGATAAATACGAATGCATTAAAAACCTTTATAATATTTAGCATGTGGTTTTATTCATAAAAATCTATTAAAAAAAAACAAACAAACAAACAAAAACAAAGTTTGTTATTAAAATGATTCATTTCCATGTGTTTTATTTAATTCAACCGGTTCAACCGGATTTTATAAAAACCGACCAGTTGATTTCTATTTAGAAATAAACATAAAACTGATGTTAGTTGAACCGTTCATTTTTTTCAATTTTCCTATCCAATTTTTTTCAATTTTCCTATCCAACCGGTTCGACCGGTCATTTCAAATCGGTTTTTAAAACTTGCATATAGGGTCCAATAACAATGTCTTACGGGAATAATAAAGATTATTTTTTACATCCAATATATTTCAAAAAAATATGACCGGATTTATCTTTATGGTGTAGTATTTATTTGCTTTTTAGGTAATTTTTTTGAGAAACGTATGAAAATAATGATATATATAAGTTAGAATCTCAAAACTCTATTACATTTTTATAAAAATAATGATTCTTCTGTTAGGTTCTATACAGAAAAGTCTTATTAATTTGGAAAACTTTTTTATAAAGTACTAAAAACTTTGTTTAATAGAAAAGTTTTTATTATTTAACATTTTGTCCAAATTTACCAAAAAAAAAAAAAAAAAAAAACTGGAAATAACAAATTATGTAACTTTTCCTAAAATAATAAAAAAAAATTGTTATAAAACATTTAAGACAGTAATACAAAGTTTCCAAAATAAAGAAATTTTCATAAAACCCTTTAAGTTAAAAGGGTATTTTCAGGGACTTTTTTGTGATGAAGTTCAAAAAGTATCTCCATAGCACAATAGAGATTTACGTTATTAAAGCAAGGTTTGTGGGTGAAAATTCGTAAGTTTGACTTGGGGTAATTTATTTGCTGAGAAATTATATTATGAAAATGTTCAAATTTTTATGAAATTCATTATTCTTTGTGAAAAAATGAAAAAACTATTTCTGAACCTTTTTTTTTTGTGTTACAAAATTTCAAAGACCATTTTACAACAAAATAAAATATTATTTTGCTAAATGAAGTCGTGGATTAATGTTTGCTCTAATAAAATGTCCATAATGATGTTACTTAGGATATATATATATATATATATATATATATATATATATATATATATATATATATATATATATATATATATAAAGAGAGAGAGAGAGAGAGAAATCATGATTTTTTGTTAAAAAAAAACATTTTGTATGAAATTATTTTGTTGTACGAATCTTCATAGACTATTTAACACAAAAATAGACCTTTCTATTATAAAGCAAAATCTATGATTAAAATAAAAAAAAATATTAAGAAGTTATTTAAAAAAACTAATAAATAAATGTATATGCGAAGGGTTCATTTCGAATTATGAAAATTCATTTTATATTAAGTTGGAAGAAGTGATAGCACTCATAACAAACAAGTTTTTTTTTCAAAACAAAGTCTATTAAACTTGGCATGTATACGTAGAAAAATATGAGAAATGGTATGTGAAGAGTTTAATAAGCTTTGTTTTGAAAAAAACATAAAAGAAAAATAAAAATAAACACAACCAATCAGGATCCGGTCGTAGCAACCAATCTCATGCAAGCAATCTTGGCAAGTCACGGTGGTTTTCTTCCTAGCAATAATGAGCCCCTTCGCTAGCGCTTCCACTCCTATTAGCCTTAAGGTGATATAAAAAAAAATAAGACTGCTTTAACAAATTAGTGGTTGTTTCCTAATTTTTGAACCAAAAAAAAAAGGGATAATGACTTCAGAGGGTAACATACTTTTGATTTTGATCACATTTGGTCACTGAACTTTTTTTCGTGCTCTATTAACCCTTTAACTTGTTGATTTGTGCAAATTTTCCCCTTCCGACCGGGTTTAGCCGGTTTCAAACGGTTTATTGATCCTACGTGTATTTTTTTATCTTACGTGGCGAAAGAGGTGGCATGTAGGGCCCGATTTTTCGTCTCTATCTCATTAAACCACACCCCGAAGTCTCATTTGGTCCTTAAACTCGACTAGGTCACAAAATTCTCCATCGATCATTCATCTCCTTCAACCGTTCTATGGCATCATCTCCAAATCCTACTGATCAGAACTTCATTGTAGTGGATTTCCACTATAATGGTCAGTTTGCACCCAATCCCTTAGTTTACTTTGATCCCAACAGAGCATCAGTGCGAGATGTTGACTTCAGTGGGTTTGGGTATGAGCAATTCATGGAATTCCTTCACAAGCTCACCAAATCGAGAAGCAAAGACATCTATTTCTGCCTTCCACAAGAGTCTTTAGGTGTTGGAATTCATACACTGGTGAACAACGGTGATTACATAGGAATTTTTGGATTTGGCGTATGCTAATGACAAGAGAATGAATGTATATGTGGATCACCATAATGAACCTATCTTCGACTGGATTGAGGCTGAGGAAAGTGAAAGTGAAAACGAAGACTTAGATGAAGATGAGGATTCAGTTATTCAAGATTCATATTCTGTTTGTAACGACCCGTTTCCGGTATGTTAATTAATTTGATTTTGGGCTAAGTTTTCAAGAGGGACTCGGTGAGTTCTAGCCTGACTCGCCGAGTCGGGTCGCGCATCTTGTGCACGCGGGAGCCGGCGACTCGGCGAGTCCATATCCTGGACTCGGCGAGTCCGTCCGTCTGGGTGAAACCCTAAATCCCCGAGTTTGCTCACTATTTAAACCCCATTATAGCCTCCATCTCGTCACTTTTCCCCTGAGAGCACCGTGAGAAACCCTAAACCTTCCATTTGTGAGTTTATAAGTGATCTTGTTCCATTTTGTGAAGGGGTGAAGAAGGAGAAGAAGAAGGAAGCAAGGAAACGAGTTCTAGTGCCAAGATCCAAGGTCAAGTGTGAACTTATTGAGGTATTTTCGGAGTTCTCTTCTGGTTTCATGCTTAAACTTCCATTAGAGCTATTTTAAGGGCTATTTGATGTTGTTCCAAGCTTTATGTTTGCATGAATGTGTTAATAAGTCGAAATACCTTTGGATCTGAGTGTTGGGGTGTTGTAGAGCCCAGATCCACTGCCTTTTTGGAGTTACATTGCTTATTAGCCATGGATCTACCCTTATTGTGCATACTTTAGTCTTATTTTCCCTCATTCATGTGGTTGTGCACGTAAAGTTGGAAACTTTACGTGGTAAAACAGCTTAATGGACCTAGATCTATCATTTGCATGTGTTGGATTCAAGAGAAATCGAGTAAAAATATGTTGCATGGCAGCGACTCGGTGAGTCGGATGAACGACTCGACGAGTCAGGTCGCGAGTCCCGAGTTCTTCAGTTTCGTCAGTGTCGAGTGGACGAGGTGAGTTAGGGAGTGGACTCAGCGAGTTGAGAGTAGACTCAGTGATGGAGGGACTCGGCGAGTTGTTCATACAACTCGGCGAGTCCAAGGCAATCTTCTTGGGGGATCAAGAACAACTCGTCGAGTCTGTTCATCTGACTCGGCGAGTCGGATGAAGATCATCTGAGTTCTTGGATCCAGAGGGTACCCGTCGAGTCGATGCCACACTCGACGAGTATCAGCGTGTAAGAGTTGAGCGGAGAGTCTAGGACTCGGCGAGTCGAGTGTCCCGACTCGGCGAGTCAGTCCTGAGTAAGTCAACTTTGACCAAGGGTAAAAGAGTCATTTTACCCTGAGTGTAGTGTTAGTGATTGATTGAGTGTGTTTATGGATTTGTAGCCGAGGAGATTCAGGAGCAGCAGCCGTTAGCTTTCCGAGCCACACACTCATCCGCTAGCTTACGAGGTGAGTTTTCCTTCCCGTAGGGGCGGGTCTAAGGCCACAATGCCGGCCGTCCAGTTAGTAGTATTTTCCGGACTTCGGTCCGATGTAGTAGTTAGTATGTTTGATGCCTTCGTGGTTCAGACATAATTCATGTGCTATGTGTTATGTGTTTTATGTTCCGGGCTGCGGCCCGATACAGTATGCAGTATGTTTGTTATGATACGCTATGCTATGCTCAGTCAGTTCCGGGCTTTCGGTCCGATGCAGGGGACACGGTCCCAGTCAGTTCCGGACTTTGGTCCGATGCAGTCAGTTCCGGACTCCCGGTCCGATGCAGTTAGTTCCGGATTTCGGTCCGATGCAGTCAGTTCCGGACTTCGGTCCGATGCAGTTAGTTCCGAACTTTGGTCCGATACAGGGGACAAGGTCCCAGTCAGTTCCGGACTTCGGTCCGATGCAGTTTCCGGGCCCCGGCCCGATGCAGTGGGCAAGGCCCAATATGTGTTTATATGTTGTTGTATGGTATGTGGTAAGTTGGGGGAGCTCACTAAGCTTCGTGCTTACAGTTTCAGTTTTGGTTTCAGGTACTTCCGCAAGCAAAGGGAAGAGCTCTGGGTGACGGCCTCGCACACACCACCGTTTCAGCTTTAGTCTGGATTTGATTTAGTTGTTGTTTTCGATATAGTATGTTACAGTTCCGCACAGTACTTTATTATATTTTGGGACATATCACGCATGGTTTATTTATATGATACTCTAATTATAGTTTTGATGGTATTAAAAACAAAAATTTTCCGGGTCGTATTTTTGGGTCGTTTCAAGTTGGTATCAGAGCCCTGGTTTGAGGGATTCGGATACACTCTTGGGTGTATCTGAACTCAAACTAAGGGGAAATAAAAGATTTTTAATAAAATGTTTTTACAAAAGAATTGAAAACACTTAGAAGGAAAAGAATTGTTTTAAGATAGAGGTGTGTGCATGCGGTCAACCGAGCTCAAGTAAGTACTCCCAAATTATCCATACAAGTTATTTGTTCAATTTCAGTTTTAGTAGAACAACATGCTAGAATAGGACTGAGGGTGTAGGAGAATGCCTTATGTGCCTGCTTATGTGTTACAGCTCTATGAATATTGCATGCTAGAATTGAGTAGACAGCAGTAGGATAGCCTGTTTAGGTTATGCCTGATAGTATGAGCTTAGCATCCTATGCTAGTATAGTTTCTTGTTATAAGAATAGTTTGCGTGAGTCTGTTTCCCTTGTCCGAATGTTGCTTGCTTTGTGCTTAGTGGGGTTCCGAGTAATGGGAGTTAGCCATTAGGTGGACACGTTACACCACATGTAATCAGGTTTGAATAATCCCAGAGTGCTGGGGACTGGCCCTACTGCGCAGCTCTTGTTTGAGTCCAACCGTTGTAGGGACGGATCCTTTACTTGAAGGATTATCCGATCCTCATCACATGTGATGGTGTTCAGGTGATGGCTAACTGGCAGTGCGAGGAGACCTACAGCAGCTGAGGACCAGTCGTATTGAGTTCGAGTTTTCTCTAGGGCAAGCCTAGGATGAGAAATAGCAGAGAATAGCAGCGGTAGAAGTGACTTGGGGGAGTCGAGGCAGTTCTTGAGGAAAGTACGGATAGATGTGGAAGGTAGTAGGGGCCCATACTACTGGAAGCAGAGGATCCGTACTCGAATCAAGGAAGGCCAAGATTAGACCAGGAAGCTAGTAGTCGTATCATGATCCCTTGAAATATTTCAGTGTTCTGATGTTGTTATGATATGTTTCAGAATGGTAGTTTTGCGTCCGAGGCCAGCAGCCGGCAGTTCAGATGCCGGAGGGGATCAGGATCGGGATCCGACCCGGAGGTCGGACAGATGGATGAGCAGACCAGAGAGTTCCTTTCTTCTGAGATTACTCGCATCATACTTGAGCAGACTCCTGTGATCTTCGGTTCGATCAAGGAGGGCATTTTGGAGATGATGGATGAGAGACTGAGTACTTTCCGTACTGAGATGGCGGCCGTGATGGGGTCGCGCACACTCACTTTCAGGGAGTTCAGGGCATGCGGGGCTCCTGACTATCACGGGGCACGGGACCCATAGCGAGTACCAGGTGGTTGGCGGATGTGGCCAACGCATTCCGCACTAGCAGATGTCCCGAGGGGGACAAGGTCAGATTGGCGTCCTGTCTCCTGAAGGACAGGGCACGTGACTGGTGGGAGGAGGTAGGACATGCCATCGGGGATGATGCGGCATTGGATGCCATGACCTGGGCTGATTTCTCTACCAGGTTCAGAGCGGAGTTTGCACCGGTCATTGAGGTGCAACAGTTAGCCAGGGAGTTCCAGGATCTTACCCAGACTACCGAGACAGTGGCGGAGATCACCGCCAAGTTCAGGGAGAGGGCCCTTCTTGTTCCACAGTATGCAGCAGATGAGGAGATGAAGAAGGCCCGTTATCACGAGATGTTGCGGAGCGACATTCGTATGTTTGTGAGCCGGTCCAGTTGCAAAACACTGGACGACATGATTGCTAGAGCCAGAGAGAGGGAGATTGATCTCGAGATGGAGAGGAAGAGGAAACCGGAGGCGGTTTCGGGTGCAGGCAGTGTGGGCAAAAAGCCCAAGGTTTCAGATCACAGGTCCAGGGGTCAGCAGAGCCACGGTCGGTGTGGCAAGTGTGGGAGGTTGCACGAGGGGGCGTGCAAGGCAGGGAGTTCCGGCTGCTACAAGTGCGGTCGGACCGGGCATATGAGTAGGGATTGTACGGCCCCTGCCACTACGGTTACAGCATCGGATCTGATTTGCTTTCAGTGCAATCAGAGGGGACACAAAAGGTCCCAGTGTCCCAGTTTAGCTGCAGCAGGGAAGGTGCTGCACCCGCCCCTGCCACTTGAGGATCACGGATGGCCGGCAGGGCCGAGCTGATGCGCCGGTGGCGAAGAGCAGGGCATTTCAGATGACAGCAGAGGAGGCGCGAGCGACTCCTGATGTGGTGACGGGTATGTATATTTCTTTCATCTTTTAATTATTAATATATCGTTTGAATATTATTTGATGGTACGCTTTATTTAGGGTCGTTCTCGGTGAACGGCATCCCTGCTTTGGTATTGTTCGATTCGGGGGCCACCCGATCATTTGTATCGCTTGCGCTTAGCAAGAGATTTAGCAGAGCTCCGGGGGAGCTGGATTGTCCATTAGAGGTTGAGATAGCAGATGATAGGACCGTGAGGGTCGACAGTATATAGAGGGTGTTCCCTTCAGATATTTGAGGAGCAGTTTTCAGTGGATTTGGTTCCGATTCCCCTGCGCGGGAATAAAGTTATTGTGGGATGGATTGGCTAAGCCCCAATGGGGCGGTGATTGATTGTGAGCTTCAGCTAGTGAGGGTTCGCACTCCCAGTGGGGGAGAGATAGTGATCAGGGCGAGAGGCCCCAGCGAGGATTGACCTTCTGCTCTGCCGCTAGGGCGAGGCGCTACGTTCAGCAGGGTTGCGCCGGTTATGTAGCCTACGTCTTGGATGCCCGGGATAAGGGCAAGACGACGATCGATGATGTTCCTATTGTTCGAGATTACCCGGATGTGTTTCCCGAGGATTTGCCGGGATA